AATACAGGTGTGAAGTGCACTGCTAAAAGACGCTGCATATCGGGCTCCTAGAAGCTGGACTGAAACCCCACAAACCAAGGAAGCAGCCCTTCATTAATGAGAAACAGAACAATAAAATAATTTATTCACAGACGCACATCCGTAAATTGAGAAATGAGTGAAACAAAAAAAAATTGTGCCGTGATCTGTATTTTACCAAGAAAAAAAAAAACACTGGATACAGAATGGAGCAGAATGGAGTAGTAGGCTGGTGTGAGGCATGACCCCCCTCCCCCCGACTCTCAGCCCAAGGTCAAATCAATCAAATCATAAAACAAACTTTCCTACTGTGGGGACCATCACACCCAGCTAGAGAGAGAATGTCAAACTCACTTCAAACCTCCAACCATATATAATAAATGCATATCCATCACGGGTTAGACACATGTATATGTTATTTGCCTTGTTATAATGACACAGGTTGGTACCAATGGAAAACTTAGGGAGTCAGATAAAAGCTGACTGTGTATGGTGACTATAGGCACTTGGGTGCTCCTTGCTGGACCCTGTGAGTGATCTTCACTAGGACTCTGCTGCTCTTAAGTAAGCATCTCAGATGCTTGGGAATAAAGAACTACACAAACAGGAGTCATGACAACGACACTGCTCTAACACGCAAATAGGGGGTGGTGTGGGGCTGCGACCTGCCACTCACCTGTGTGTGTGTGTGTGTGTGTGTGTGTGTGTGTGTGTGTGTGTGTGTGTCTTGATCTCTCTCTCTCCGAGAGCAGGATGGGTGGGTGAAAAGAGAATTTCCCCATGGCGATTAATGAACTATTTATCAATTCACCCTTCGCTAGAACCCTCTGTAATCAGTCCGCTACATCCTTGATGATGAAATGAGTGCAGAATCGCCATTGGTCAGCAGGACTAATTATACAGTTACTGGCATCCTTCGCATTGCACCACCAGTATCTGTAAACAGTGAAAATGACGTACGCATCCCGTTACCGTGTAATCGTAAGTGTGGCGTGAATTGTTGGCTTCCCTGTCCGTGCTGCCTCTAGTATTAAACCAATAGTGACTGTTAGTAAAAAAAAAAAAAAAGAAGTTATTTTAATAGGTGTCATCTCCCTTATTAAAATGACACGCATACTCATGCCAAAATGCTTATCTGCACTCTGTGTGTGGGTCTGCTGCACTGAAAACATTCCGCGCCCTCTTGGGCTGAGGTGTGACAAACAAGGTGGCTTTATCGGTCTAAGTATGCAACAAATTGTTCTTGCCAAGGTGTTCGGTTTTGTCCGGGCGTCGTTTGAAGTGTGTGGCCACCTTAAGTGTTTTTTTTTTTTTTTTTTAAATCTATCATCAATCAGCTAAATGTGCAAGTCAGGGGCTTCTGTGGAAATCCCCGCGATCCTAGGGAACCGGCTACTGTCCCACCCCTGTCACATCCCCACTCCATTTTCAGTAATTAGGACCCCAGTAAGGGGACCGTTACCGTTCCTAAATGCCCTCATGTACAAAACATCCCCAAGCATTACAAATACATCTATCACAAGGCTATGAAAGACTTCTGCCTGTTAAAAAAATACTCGGCTAAAGAGCAATTATGTAACTGTTTTACTTCTCTTCAAATGGTGGCTGTCAACATCTTTAAAAAATAATTAGAAAAATTAGTACTCCAATATGCACTCCAGTAGATGTGACATCTACTCTCAAACTTAGGAGTATAAATGGTGAACCGGAAGGGATTCTCACTAGTTGGAAGAACTTGGTCACAACTATAAACACTGGCAACAATATTACTGGCTAACAGCCAGCTGAGCAATATCACGATCAATAAGACTGACAGCAAAGCAATGGTAACAACAAACGGTGCCTAACACCCACTGCACACCCAAGGAGACATGCCAGCATCAGGCCTCTGTTCCTGCCTGCTGACAGTAATAACTGCAGTATCTTTAAGCAGTAATCAGTGCAGCTATTCTTAGAAATTCTGTCTATCCGTTTGCACGCTATGCGGTACCACAGTTTTATATTTATTGCATTTTACGGCGTGTATCGTGGCTGCCAAGCTGAAGAAGAGTTTCCATTTTCTATGTACAATAAAGCGGAGCTTTATCTTTATCTTAAAGCACTGCAGTAGCAGAGTGACAACCGACCAGATATAACCTTAGACTGGGGATCGCAACAAACCTTATGCTGGGTTTTGGAGAGGGACCGAAGAAATCAAAGTAAATAGCTTAAAAAAAATAATGAAATATTCCGAAAAATGAATAACGGATGAACACTTTTTAAAATAAAGAAGCCAAAAGCTGGGTCTAAGGATTTCAGATGCCCAGGGACTCAGTCCTGCATATCACATATAAGAAGAGCAATTAAATACAAACGGGGCAAAAATCACCCACGTTTCTTCATTTGCCAAATGTTTTCAACTCAGCGACGTAGACAAGAGCATTCAAGGGCTGCATGAGCATGGAAGGGGCCATAAATGTACAAACAGGATAACTAAGTTCAAGGCATTAAGTGCATATTTCCTTCATATGCTAGAGATGTAACAAGCTCTACAAACAGGATACCTCTCACTTACAAAAACCCTAACAAATCAAAGTCCCACAAGCATAATGAAGCCAAAAGGGGCAAATTCTTATGTTAACCGTTGAGAAAGGTACTTAACCTAAAGAGGTACTTTCCTCGACGTTTCCCTGTAAACAGCATTTACACGTCAAGCGATTGCGTAAAGAACATAAGGGGCCAACAAAAGACAATAAATGGACGGAATGGTGACACAAACCAAAACGAGGAAGAATAGCCCTAAATATGACAGCACAGGTTTTCTGCGATTTGAAAGGCAATGAGCGGTCATGGGTTTGCGACCAGGGTAACCCTTTCACAAAAACTGATGCACGACGTTGCCTCGGGGCCGTCCGAAGGCTCTGCTTCATGGTAACCAGCGATACTAAGGGGTGTGACAATGAGTGGGCGGGTCTCATGAAGGACTGAGACTTGTTACGTGGGCAGGTCCCATAAGCTAGGTCAACGTGGGGTGGGGGGGGGGGAGCAGTTTCACACGTGGGCTGTTCCAAGGTTTACTTAGGGGCGGGGGGTTTTCTGTAGTCTCCATTTATTAGAAACAGTCCCACNTTAATAAAGCGCCACGCTGGCTGAACGGGGGCTGATGTCAAGCTCTAGCTGCATTCTTGGTGTTGGGGGGCGGGGGGGGGGGGGGGGGGGGGGGGAGCAGTTTCACACGTGGGCTGTTCCAAGGTTTACTTAGGGGCGGGGGGTTTTCTGTAGTCTCCATTTATTAGAAACAGTCCCACAGAGTGCCTTTTATAACCGGATATAGAAATTCTAAAAACGCCAAAAATATAAATGGGGAATCCTAATCAAGCCAATTAAAAAGAAGACGCCACAAATGTAACATGATTTCTAAAAAATCTGCCACTCACGCTACGGGTTCTGTGACAAACACCCTCGAGATGCCTCCCCGAGACAACGACCAGCTTTTTCGCTCACACACATAGTTCAAACGTGGGACAAACAACATGCGTAGACATTTCTTGTGGCCGGCCACTAATTAGAACATGCCGCCAGCAGTAAGAATGCCGTAACGGAATTGCCTTCTTTGTGTTTGTTCCGCTACCTCTTGGTATCATCAGCTCATCAGACTCTGGAATACCCTGACCCCCAACCGGAACATGTGGTCGTCCAGTGTCTAAAGGCCGCATGCTAGAGTGATGAAAAATACAATTATTAACAATGAACACTTATTATGATTCTTTTTAGATTATCAGTGTCAACATCCAGAAAGCCCAAGAGATCACAGACGTATCAGACTTTCCATGGTGCACATGGCACTTTGAGTGCACCAAGCACGTTACTCATTAGCAGAAGGGAAATATGGCAGTTTCTATACCCTTGAAGAGGACATTTACAAAATACCGAGCCCATAACCTTCCGGCGTCAGGTAGGGTACCCTGAAAACGTGGCCAACGAGCTAAAGGTTGAAAACGGATCACGATCAGGGTGCTTTGTGATTAATGCAGAAGGGCCGGAAAAGGAAGAATAAAGGGAGAAAAAAAAAAGTAATTCAGTGCCAGATCACAAAGCAGCAATCACGATGCAGGTAGCCACAGCAAAACCCCTGATATGAGATATATCAACACTTAGCACACCTGTCCAAACAGCGGGAATCCATAATTGCCAAGACCAAAGCGTTTTCCGCGCTGCCAAAACAAACTACGGCAGGAAGAAAAGGAGGGGAAAAAATCCAAACAATGCAGTAGCTTTCCAATCTGCAGATATTTCACAAACATGGCAAGAGGAGAAACGCCAACCGCGTAAGAGGTACAAAGGGGCGACTTTCACCTTTATCCTGCTAGCCCAACCCGTCTGCTAACGGGACAGCGCTGCCTGCAGGTTCACTGTCTGCTTATCTGCTCCATGTAAGAGGGGGGGATTTCCAGATGAGCCTGTTTTGGCTTCACCCCCCCACTCCCCCCCCCCCAAACTTCCCTTTCACTGCCGCCCTCCTCCCATCCTTCTTAATCCCACACTTGGTTGCACGTCTAACAGCAAATCTGAAAAACTCCCACACAGAAAAAAAACAAAAACAAAACAAACCCCCAGAGAGTGATCTTTCTCCTTAGCGGCCTTCACTGTGAAAGACTGAGA